TTTTGTATAAAGAATTATTAAAAAAAAAAAAAAAAAAAAAAAAGGTAGAGGGAAAGAAATATTTGAGTTTAAATATAAAAGAAAATGATAAAAACCAGATGAAAATATAAAACAATAAAATAAAAAGTTAAGACTTATTTTAAAAAGCCAAAAATTTGACATGTCAAACCATTGATATATTAAGTTCCCATTTATCTTATGGGATGATTTGCAAGTACCAGTATTCGTCGAAAAGGTCGAGCTTAGGGCCAAAATTTGCACCCCCTCCTAGGAGGGATGATATAAACATCATACCAGAGGCACTATTGGTAGGCTTACCAGATATAAATAAAGAGTATTATAGGTGGAAGGCAACACACATTATTAAAATGGGTAGAGAAATAAGTGGAATTTGAGAACAAAAATTTGGTGCACACAAATGTGGATGAAACAGAATGGAATCACATTAGTTAGGGCCGATAAGGCTAAGGCTATGGTCCTTATGAATTGCAATACATATGACCAATTGTTATCGGAGCACATTAAGCATACCAGTTGTGACATTGTACAAAGAGATATGGTGGACAAACTACAAGCTAGAGTTAAGCGCTTTGCAAACACTAAACTTGCTATGAGACTGGAAATGAGAAATATTATTGTCAATTCGCCTGATACACCGAAGTTGTTTGCCTTTGCGAAAATCCCAAAGTAGGGCAGCAACTTCGCCCTGTTATAGATAAAGCCAGAGTGCCAACACATAAACTGGAGAAATTCGCCCACAAGCTTATCATGCAATACTTGGAAGATTATCCGTACACGCTGAGTGACCCTGTGGACCTAATAGATACTGTCAGGAAGATCACCGTACCACCTAAGTTTCTCACAGTATTGGATTTCAAGTTGCTTTTCCCATCAATCCTACTCCCACTGGCCTTTTGCGCCTTCAGAGATTTATTACTCTCCATCCTCAATGATAATACGGTACACCAGTAAATTCTTGAGATGGCCCATCTGTTGTGTTACTATTCTTTTTTCCAGTTCAAAGGTATCGTGTACACAAGGAAGAGGAGTCCCTATGGGTAGTCCGGTCTCTGGGGACTTATGCGAGATGGTGATTAGACTACTCGAAGCTAACGTCCTCCCACACCACCTGCACAACATCATTTTGTAGAAGATATGTCGACGATATTATCATATTATGGAAAGAAAGACCAGACATCAAGGTTTTTGTTGACACAATGAATTATAACACATGGATTAACCATAGAAATAGAACATGCGCACCAGACAAACGTACACTTCCTAGATATTGACATCAAGGTAGAAGAGTCCGTAATCCACACTGTGGTGTACCGAAAGTTAGGAACAAAGGGCATATACATACGAGTAGGATCATGTGACCCACCACAATATAAAGTTGCACCATTTAGAGCCCTAATTAAGAGAGTGCACACGCACTCTTCTACTAAGCGAGCCCTACAGTCAAAGCTAAGGCTTATACATCAAATAGCCGCTGAGCACGGATACAGCAAGCTCATATGCAAGTTAATGCATGGATATCAAAACTCAGCTCAAGACCTACCACAAAGGGAGGAACAACAAGATATGGATAAGATCATTCCAGTCAATTATAATCCGTATATTAGAGGGCTATATGGCGAGATAACTAAAAAGAACTGCATACATATCACCTACAGAAGATGCGCTTCGATTTTTAACATCCTAACCAATGGAAAAGATCAACCAGATAAGGATAAGATGTCAGGGGTCTACAGCATTCCGATTATAGATCTCAGATGCGATAGAAACCTTCTGTATGTGAGCTCACCAAACGATCTTTAGAGGTGGGACTGAAAGAACACACTGAAGATATTCAGAAACAAAGGAATACGACGGCTCTGGCAATTTATGCGTCCGATCCAAATATAGACCCCAAATTTAAGAAAGCCAGAATTATTCACACCACACGGCACATACACCATATCAAGTGGCTGGAAGCGGCCAGTATATACTTAGCTAACCTTAAGGATAATCAATGCATCAATTATAAAGAAGAGATTACACTATCAGTAACATGGCTAGCGCTTATGAACAGTAATTCATGATAGCCGTATTGGAATCGACTGCGCATGACAGATAATGACGTAAATGGGAAACGTGCATTTGAACATACATATTTTCGAATTTGAAGTTTTACGGGCATTTCCATCAGAGATTCAAAAATATACCTGAAGAACCATTGTTAGGGTTCGAAAACGTTGCTAAAAAGCTATTTTTGTTCGTTACAATTTAGTAGAAGAAGGAGAACGCACCAGTAACAGGTTAGAAAGAGTTTTTATTAGTATTCTCCGGTGTTGAGATAAAGATGTGTATTGATATATTATTTAATATGTCAGAACAACTGAAATTTTATTAATGAATTTTTAAGTATATAGCAATATCTTTTTTTGATTTTTAAGTAAAATAAATCAGAAAATCTAAATATTTAAAAAATTGATCAATAAATAGTCTATTATACAGGGTGTTTCAGATCACTCACACCACATGTTTTTATTAAAAACTGTTGTAGTAGGGTGGGAAAAATTTTTTTTAGTCAAAAATCCATATGAAGAATTGATTGGCAACATTGGCATCAATAAGAATTAACAGATCGGAATTATACTACACCGAGTTAAAGTAAACAATAAACAAACGTACCGGGAACCTGTTGCCAGTGTGCTTCTCGGAAAAAACAAAGCGTTACGAACGTTTTCAAACTTGAAAGTTCTTCTTCAGGTAACTGACGACTGTTAAGCGAATGCAATTCAAATTCAAGTCAAATTGGAATACCATTTGACTTGACAATTATATCAGAATTATATCACGTGGATCAATGACGTCATTCACGCATGTGCTCCTCTGCTGGTTGTAAATTATCGTAAGTTTTTGTCTATGGGCGCCTGCCATGCAGTTGACAGGGTGATTTCGTCTTTGTGGTTAATGCAATTATCATCTTTTAGTGTAGCCATACAGATGTAAATGGCCTCTAGCCATCTAAGATGGTGTATGTATTTTGTAGTGTGGATCACCTTGGCCTGGTTGAACAACAGCTCTACTTCCGTATCTGAAACATAGATGGATAGAGCTGTGGTTTGCCTCGCATGTAGAAAATCAGCTGTGTGTTCTTTAATTCTCACTTCTAGGGAGCACTTGATGGATCCTATGTAGATCAGGCTTCTGTCACATCTATGGTCCATAATCAGGATGGTGTATACCCCTGGGAGTCATTCTTTGTTGGGGATGTCTTTCCCATTTTGTAAAATATTGAAAATTGTCGCGCATCTTCTATAGGCAATACGAATATTCTTTTTCCTGGCTAATGTGTTGTACAGTGATTTCAGGTACATATTGAAATGTCTTATATGTTTCATTCTAAACATTTTAGAAGACTTTCTCAGAAAGCATATTGTGCATGAAGAATCTCAGCTTTATTGAGAGACCTGCAAGCTATTCTTCTCCATATATAGTATAGTAATCCAAGCACATTAATTCAGGCAATCATGGTGGCCATGATGCTGGGCTACCTCTTCCAATTTACATGCAAGGAAACTTTGCACCTCATTCATCTGCAGAAAATAGCTCATTATTTATAAAATCATTAATAAAATACAGGTCACTTAGCAATGATTATAAATGTAGTTGTTATTTCATATTTGTTAAATTGTTAATTTTAACGAATATTAGCACATACTGAATCATTAATAACCTTTTACCAGTCATGTGCATTATAATGTTTTGGTTTTGTTTTCCATTCATCATGTATTAAGGCAAACATGGTTGTTTGCCTTAATACATGCATTTGATAATATTTTATTTGTAATTAAATGAAATAAAATTAAAATTGTATTAATAAATCTAGTTGTCTTTATTTTGATCTCTAAAGTCACACCTCGTCCTATATGCAGGATCATCTTATATGCAAGTAAATACAGTATTTATTGTGACATTAAAAATTGCAGCCTGGGATTGTGACAATCATATTTTTAATTTAAAATATATGCTTGCTACCTCACATTAGTAGTGGCTTGCCCCTGTACATCATACTTTTCTTTTAGTAATAGAGTCATGCTGGTCATCTAACACCTTTCATGGGAAAATTTTTGATTTGAAATAACATGACTTCTGGATTGCACTGGAAGTTTGTATATAGCAGGGGTGGGCAAGCAAGAGTTCAGTGGGAGCTGAAATGTAGGTTTTGCAAAATGCATGGCAGCCACAGTTCTGTACTTTTTAATTCTGTACTGTGATTTTATTATATAATGTAAATATAATATAAAACAAATATTGAATTTTTTTAATATACATATTTTCACAAAATTGTGGAAATAAAATTGTAAAAATAATAATAAAAAGCAGAAATTAACACTTTCAGCAAGAGCAGCATTTGCCCATGTCTGGTATATAGTTAAATTAGGGCCTCCTGTCTCCAAATTTTCCATATCTGATCTCAGATTTTATCTATCTAACAATGTTCTTAAGATTAAGGAAGGACAAATGGATGGACGACAGTGGAAATTTATAGATCTACAATTTTTTCAATTGCAGCCCAATAATTGGACATTAGCAATCTTACCCTCTTTGTTTAAGTGCTTCTACCTCTTCCACAGTCATTCCAAAAATAAAAATGTTTTCAGATCCCATTTCTTCACCCATTTCTATATTTGCACCATCTAATGTACCAATTGTAAGAGCACCATTTAACTGAAAATATAACACGGAAAAAAAAGTATATATAAAAAAAAATATTCTATAAACATTCTATAAATAAATTTAATGTAATGAATTTGTAATTACCATAAATTTCATGTTGCCTGTGCCAGAAGCCTCTGTACCAGCAGTTGAAATCTGTTCACTCAAATCAGCAGCAGGAATAATTTGTTCAGCAAGTGTAACTCTATAGTTTTCCAAATATATAACTTTAAGTTTATCTCCAACAACAGGATCATTGTTGACAACATTTCCAATAGCACATATTAATTTAATAATCTGTTTAGCTGTATGATAGCCTGGTGCAGCCTGTAAGAAAATTATATTTGCATAATTATTACATATAATTATTTTATTTTACTTAAATAACTAGATATAGTAACTGTCAGTATTTATTTAAAAGTCATTTCTTCTACTGTAATAATTTCTAAAGATTTTTAATTGAAAATGCTTTCTAAAGATTTATCTGATTATTTTTTTAAAAAACTTTTAAAAAGATCTGCGTTAAGAAAAAAAAATTAAGTCATTAAGTCTGACCCCACCCAAAATTGCCATAAAAGTAAATAACTTTTACGCAATCCCTACACTTCATCTCTCCTCTTGACTTATCTGCTCCAAAATGTAACAACAACAACATTCAATATATACTTGAAGTATTCCTGCCAAATTTCAAAGTTTTTGGTCCATTGAATCTTGAGATATAAAGAAAAATGCAAGCCAACACACACAGACAATTTTGTTATGTTTTAGGAATCAGGATCTTAAGATATCAAGAAATGCAAAAATCCTAGATGGTCAAAATTTGACTGATTACAATTCTTTTCCATTGTTTTACAACATCAGGAAAGTAGAAAAAGAGCAAGTCAAGAAATGAAAGTTTAATTATTAAAAGACAGAGCAAAAAATGTACAAATGAAACTACTAAATTTTTATGCAATTTTATATACAACACCAACAGTCTACCTTAAATAATAATAGAAAAACACAGACCAAAGTATAAAAATATTTTTGAAAAATATCATGAAATTTTTTTTTTAAATTGCATGATGAGGTTTTTCAAGTACCCAAATACAAAATCACTGATCACTGATTTTATCACTTTTATCACTGATTTTCAAAACTATTAAAACATTTTAAAATGTTTTAATAAATCAAAAGGATATATTTAAATTTGCTGTTGTAGAAGAAAATGATAACTTTATAAAAGTAAACATCTTTTATGGCAATCCCTTACTTTCAATGAGATAATTATTCATATTTTACTATGTGCAAAAAATAAATTTTTCATTCAAAATCCAATGGAGATTTTTCAAAAGTAATATCTGATCTTTAAAAATCAAATTATTGTCATGTTTTAAATTAACAACTTTTCCAGATGAAATATAGTTATTTATTTTAGAATTAAACATCATAAAAAAACATAACATTTATACATACCTTTCCTCCAATCATAACAGTTCTTGGAGCAATCGGAGCATTTGGATTACGTTTGATTCGATTGTACATGGTTATTATATGAAGACAATTAAGTAATTGACGTTTATACTCGTGGATTCTTTTAACTTGGATGTCAAACATAGAAGAGGGATTTACAGTTATTCCATAGTCTTTTTGTATTAAACCAGCTAATTTCATTTTATTTTCCTAAAATAAAGAAAACAAATCATTCAAAATTCAAATTCCAAACAGCTTGAGATTAAGATTATTTTCCATTTACCTGTTTTATTGTATGAATTGTACGAACAAACTTATCATCATTTACAAGAGGTTTTAACAGTTTTAATTGATCCAAATGAGTTATCCATTCTTCTCCAATACGCTATATAAAGTTATTATAAAATGATTACATAAATATGTTTTTAAATTAAAACAATAAAACTATAAAATGCTTACTTCTGCAATTGCATCAGCTAAACTAACATTGCATAATAATAACCAACGTCTTGGTGTAATCCCATTTGTCTTGTTTTGGAATTTATGAGGTGTCATTTCATAAAAGTCTTTAAATCTTTAATAAAAAGATTAAAATTTATCATCTTACTTCTAAAATGTCATCCTAAATTTAATATAATTTAAATAAAATTTTCATTAAAAAGTAGGTTACGTACAAATCTTTTTTAAGAATTTCTGAATGAATAAATGCTACACCATTAACTGCATGAGCTCCAACTATAGAAAGATGAGCCATGTTAACTCTCTTTTCATGTCCTTCCTCAATCAGTGACATTCTTCTAAGCCGATCCATATCTCCTGGGAATTTTGCAGCAACTTCCTAAAAAAATTATTAAATCAAGAATCAATTTATACTTGGTAAAAATTAAATTATAAATCTAGTACATTGACATTTTATATTTAATAATTTACATACTTTAATTATTGCTTAAAATATATATTGTGAATAATAAGTTATATAAGTTACTTGTAAATGTCTGGAATTGATTTCATAAATAATTTGAAGATGGCGAGGTAATATACGTTCTAACATATGTACAGGCCATCTTTCTAAAGCTTCAGGAAGAACAGTATGATTAGTGTAAGCACAAGTCTCCACAGTAATTTTCCAAGCCTGTAAAGATTTTTAATATGTAATAAAAATTTAAAACAAATTAAATAAGTTTTTAGGTACAATACACAGCAAGAATATATGTCAAATAAAATTTGCTTTTAAGTAAGAACAGACTTTTCAAATTAAATATTCAATGACAATAAACCATATAATTTCTTCTATACTGACTGTTTAAAATAAAATTAACTTTGTTTTACAGAGAAGATTTAAAATTTATGAATTCAAAATCAACACTTGCATATAATTATTACTGTCTAATTATAATTAACATCTAATAATAATTAACCAGATAATGATAATCATCACCACTATCTAATATATTCATTAATTTCTCAATTCTATTGTCTTTACAATGCCAATCCATATATCATTTCAATTATCATATATCATTTTAAAAACAAAATAAATAAAACAGCAGAGAAACCTATAAGTAAAGGTCGATTCCATTAATTTCTCTAGTGTTTTTTTTTTTTACAACAATTACTTAGATTATCTTAATTTTTAAAATACAGTACTTTAACCTATTAAAACTTATGTTATTTATTCATTTTTAAAATTTTCAAAAAATTACAATAACATTATGAAATGATATTAAAATCTTTAAAAATTTATTTTAAAAATTTCAACATTTAATTGCATAATTTCCAAAAATCTAAGGCTACAAAGGACATACAAACACTGAGTTTGTATTTCCTTTGAACTTACTCCTGCACCATATTGCCATATTGCAGAGAGAAAGATTTACTGTAGAAACTACACAAGTACAGTACCTTGCAGATGAGAGATGGAAGTCTGTCATGATAAAGTATGGGTGTACCTATCTGACACAAACAAAATTTGAATGATATACAATCCAAAAAACTAGAAATACTTTTCAACTTGGTCTGGTGAATGCAAAGAAAGTTTCAACTAAAGCTTTATAGTTGTTGCAGGTTTCTGTTATAATGGCAAACTAAAACTGAAAAGCAGGTTCAAAAATCAAAGTCAACTCTAGTTACTATCAAAATAACTAGAGTTGACTTTGATTTTTGAACCTACTTTTGACTTTTTGAAAGTATTGGAGCTCATGTTCAAGCAAGAATTCTACTGTTGTATGGTCCATCAGAACAAAGCATCAGTTCATATTGCACAATCAACCCTAGCATTTCTAAACATAATAGAGGAAGAAACTGATATAAAGTCAATATCCTTTCCTGACATATCTGCTAAATCATCCAATGCAGCACGCACAGATTTCTGTGTCTTTGGACAAATAAAAAAAAAAGCCCTCAGATTTTGTCAACCCTGAAGATGAAGGATTGTGGAAAGCTTGCAATGATGAATGGGAGAAACTAAATAAAATTCTCTAAGAATCTCTGATGCAGTGAAAAACTTGATGTTAGGCATTTGCCAGAAACCAGGGGAAGCAGACAATGCATGACAGATGATGGAGGAAGTTGTTTTCCTGAGTAACAGCTATTGAAATTGTTTCCATAAGACAAACAACTCTGTATTGTCTGCTGTATATGACTATCTTATTAACCTACTACTAATTCTAAAGTATTTATTTTATCAGAGATACCAACCTGAGGAGAGGGTTAGCATAGGATCATATATCATAATTGGAAAGGGGAAAGCAATGCTCCATTGCACCAATTTTAAGATATTCATAAACTACTTTAATTTTATTCTAAGTTCTAATGCTTTCAAGTCATAATGTTAATATACTTATTAATTAATTCAATATATTATATACCAGGTTGTTCAACAAGTTTTGTCGTTCTATAAGAAAAACATGATTTTATGGTTTGAAATACATTTTATTATTCAATATAATCTCCCTGAATTTCAATACACTTGTTCCAGTGATCTTCTAATTTCTGGATTCCATCCCTAAAGTGAGAATCCTGAAGACTGTCGAAATACGCTTCCACGGCTGCTATTATCTCTTTCTTTGATGAAAATCGTTTCCCATGCATGAATTTTTTTAGATGTGAGAACAGCCAGAAGTTAGAGGGAGCTAAATCTGGTGAATAGGGAGGATGTTGCAACAATTCATATTTTAATTTACTGATTTTCGCGATGGTTTTTTGAGCTTTGTGAGAGGGTGCATTGTCTTGATGAAAAATGATTTTTTTCTTTTTTAAACCAGGTCTTTTCTCACAAATTTTTACATCCAGCTGGTCCAAAAGGTTACAATAATAATCTGAATTTATTGTTTTACCAGTTTGCAGGTAATCCACAAACAAAATTCCTTTTGCATCCCAAAAAACAGATGCTAACACCTTCTTGGCCGATTTCTGGACCCTAACTCACTTCGGAGCCGAAGTACCGGGTTCACACCACTCCTTAGCCTCTTGTTTTGATTCAGGATCATGGTGGTAGACCCACGTCTCATCCATAGTGATGAAACGATGCACAAAATCCTTTTTATCCTTTCTAAAACGCTCCAAATGTTGCTGAGAAAGTTTCATTTGAATGTGTTTTTGTTCCATAGTTAACGAATGCGGCACCCATTGTGCACACAGCTTTCTGTAACCCAAAACTTCAGCCAAAATATTGCTCACACTGCCTAACGAAATCCCTAGGGCTTCTACTAAATCTCTCTCGGTTAATCGACAATCTTCCAAAACCATATGCTGTATTTTTGCTACAATTTCTGGTGTTGATGCACTTTTTGGATGTCCTTCACGTGGATCGTCTTCAAGACTCGTACGACCATGTTTAAATTCAGCAACTCATCTTTCTACTGTTCTGATTGAAGGTGAAGAGTCCTTATACACTTTTAACAATTGTTCATGAATTTTTTTTGGTGCTACACCTTCCAAAAATAAGAATTTTATCACTGCACGATATTCAATTTTTTCCATTGTAAAAAAATACAATGACACGTCAACTTTGAACAGCTGCAAATATACAATGAGTTGACAGATCTACTTGAAATTTGACATGTGTTTGCATTCTACAATCAGCATTTTGCTTACATCATAGCTACTGAATGAACCAATTCTTAGAGATGTTCCATCTGATTTGTAAAGTCTTTGACATCTTGTTCAAGTCTTGTGTCATAACTTGTGGCAATGGATGTGATATGGCATGTATGTGTTTCTAAAAACAAATGTAATTTCTTGTACTGATTCAAACTTTGTTTTAAATATCGTACCAATGATAGAGCATTGCATTTAGGAATTTAACACATGTTACCTAACACCTATACGTCTTGTTGCATTAGCATGTTCATTTGACAGTATAAAAGATTGTTCTGCAGTTTTTAGAGGGTTATCCATACAGGTTAGGTTTGAGGTTTCTGTAAGTCAAAAACTAACCTAGAAAGTACATTTTTACACAGAATAACTACTTATTGTTTAGTATTTGATCCTCCAATGTACTTAATAGAATACATTACACTCATTTATCCATTAGATCAGGGATGGCAATCTTTTTCTATGTAAGGGCTGCATTTTAAAACTTTTGAACTGACACGGGCCACATACAAGAGAAAAGAGGAAAAAAATGCCAGTAAATCACAATTATTTATTCATATATAATTATAAATTAGCATAGGTAATTTAGCTTCTGGGACTGATGTAAATGTAATATATTGGAAATATTTGGTTAAATATTAGTCACTGTTAGTTTTAAATTAGTTTGGATGTATCTGTTAGCCTGTTTGTTTTAATTTTTACTAAATTCATTGTGGAAAAACTATTCACATATGTAAGTTGTAGAAATAATGTTTGAATTTTTGCTGCATACTTCCTTAAGCTAGGAAATTGATATATTGCCCAGCTTAATTCATATTTTATGCAACGCAGGCTGAAAAAATATTAATGGGAGCCGCATGCGGCCTGGGAGCCACGGGCTGCCCATCCCTGCACTAGATACTGCTTAGAGCAAATTGTTTAAAATGCAGGTTTTTTTCCACCTAATGCACTTTGTTTTATAATGTCAAATTTAGTTTTCATGGTAATAGAGTGATACTTCTTGCATTTATCTCCACTGCTATATTTACTATTATGATTTAGATGCATTTTTGAAGCACTAATCATAAAAGGTTATCAATCAATCAACATTTATTTGCTACGGCTTTCGCCTTTACAAAGGGGGTTACAAAATCGTGCAACATTAACAGATACAAACATAGTTATACATAATTTCAAATACAAACATAATTATACATAATTTCAAAAATATTAAAACTTTATTAATAATGTTATGTTAACATGTTTAATAAATAACAGAAAAATTTATAAACTTTAAATAACATGTCAGAGCTTAAATTATCATCGTATAAACAAAACATATCAAAATTANAGGTGGAGTACGAGACATCGGTCCAGGATTAGATTCAATACCTCCAATTACCAATAAAGCACGTAATAATAAGTATATATCAAATTCTTTGATGAAACCAAGATAAAGAATCAAACACTTTGTAAAAGCAAACATATCCAAAGCACTATAATTCAATAAAAACAGCTCTCTCAAAAAACTCACCAACACTGACGAACGTCGGAAGCGCCCCCCCCATAAAAGGTTATAAAAATTACAAACAAAAGCAAAAAATGCTATTACTCTAATGTTACCAACTTTAACATCACCTCATGAGTGGCAATGGAACCTTAGAATTCACATGAAAGTGAAAAATGACGATACAAAATGGTTTCTATTTTGTATTAACGTTTATTATTTATTTATTATTGGCAAAAGACTGACTTTAACACCACTAAATGAGTGGTAAGAAAACTTCAAAATCCATGCAAAATTTAAATTTTAGATGCATGGTCATATTGTAAGTAGGGGAGAACCTGTATCTTAGAAATAAAAATAAAATTAATTTATTGTAACATCACAATGCTGGACTGCAATTTTTAATCATCTTTTAATTTAAAAAAATATTATGTGACTTCTGGTCCAAACTGAAGTTCATATATAGTTAATCAGGGTCTCTAGCCTCTAAGCTGTCCATATCTGGGGATCTATTCTGAACTCTTCCAATAACTCAACGAAAGCAATACACAGGACATTCAATAAGTCTCTTTAACGAAAGGCAGTTAACAAACCTTAGACAAATTGCTATTCTCTGCTCCACATTAAGTAAGTTTTGCTTTGTGTAATTGGTTGAGATGCTTCTAGGTTCCATGCTATCGATAGCTGTTACTCTTTCACCAATCACAATTTAATTAACATTGTCTTTTTGTCCTGTGACTGCAACTTGCCATTTTTCAAGCAAAGCACATGTTTTTAGTATTGTCATGTACCAGCATTAGCCAAATTTTTTTGTGTTAAAATGTCATCAAAGAAGGGACAACACAGCCAGTGAACTAACTACAAGTTGTCAGTTCAAGATATTAGTTAAAACACTGCTTTAGCTTTTCTCATAATTCATTGCATAAATGTAATAGTAATGGCTTCAGAAACAATAAACTTCTTTAAAGTGTGTATCATTTAGCTGAAAGGCACTATCTCAAAGACAAAACTGAGATTCGCAATGTTAAATGCTAATTTTCTCTCTCTCCAATTGTTTATGAAGTAATATTTTTCTTACACCTAAAGTCATCATATGTAAAATTACATATTGAAACTTGTAAAATAAACAATTTGGTCTATGCCATTGTCAATTCAAATTTATAAATACAATATCTATTTTATTTACTTCAATATAAGATTTAATCTCTCTTCACAATGACATGAAATTTATTTTAAGTGGAATTAAAACTGTAGAAACGTCTTCAGTTTTAATATAACGTTAATTTAAATTTAAAATTAAACTGAAATTTAAATCAACTCTTGGATATTCATATAAACTATGTAATAATTAATAATATTAAATAAAAACATTGAAGATAATTTATAAATGTTGAATTTAATCTCAAAAACACAAACCTTATCCCATAAAAGTCCTTCAATGTCCATCAATATGCGCATAAGTTCAGGAATTGCCAAAGAAGGATGGGTATCATTTAACTGGATTGCAACCTTCAGAAATGATTTATAAAGAATAATTTAGATTCAATAGAAAAAAACAAAACTTACTTAAAAAAATATTCAAATAGAATTGTTAAGCTTTACCTTATGAGGAAAAGTTTCAAACGATGTTCTTACAGGATCTCTGCTTCCAAATTTTGCAGATTTAAAACGTCTGAAAATATCTTGCAATGTTGCAGCTACCATAAAATATTCTTGTTTTAACCTCAATTCCTTGCCTTCAAAGAACTGCAATAAATTGAGAGTAGATATGAATTATATTTAACATGTTTGTAACATGTGCCACTGGTAGCATACTACCAGAGTAAAATTTAATGCTATTTAGATGGAGTAAATTTTTATATTACGAGTTTATCTTTATCATTATGTACCATTTCTGGAGCATAATGTTTCTTTTGAATATACAAATAATATATGAAATTGAAATGCACTGAATGAATTTATATTGGTAAAAAAAAAATAAATAAAATTTATTGCACTTTAAATAATTTAATTAAAAGAAATTAAGCAAAAATTGGAAAATTGGTCATTCCCCAATAAAGCTGAAACTACTATAAAAAAATTCCCTCTCTAAAATTAGGAATTTATTTGTAAGATAAAATAATACTCTTTGAAACACTTATTAAGATTAATAAAAATAATAATAAGATAAAAAGTCTTTTATCTTAGTTTTATCACCTGACCTTTTATCACCTGAATATTTATTCTTGTTGACTTTGCCAGACCTTTGTATTTGCCAAATTGATGCTAACCTACTAGGAAATGAATTGTCCTTGAATTCAAATTTTGATATCTAATGAGATCAAAACTTATTGCCTCTTGAAACCGCTACATATTTGTTTTCTATTAGTCATGTCATAAATAAACCATGTGTTTGTGATTTGAAGTGTTTTTGAGCTTATTTCAAGAACAAACTCAAAAACACTTCTTTTAGTGTGAGCCACAGACAGTGTACTAGTGAAATTTAAAGTGTATAACAATTAACTGTAATGTACCATCTGTGGACAAACAAAATAAAGTTATCAATACAATCTAATCCAACATAAATAATAACCTAGTTCTTTAAAACTAATTTTAAATTCACTAAATCTAATAAATAGAGTATACATTTGAGGAGAAAGAATGAAAAAAATTAAAGAATATACATGTTTGCAATATAAAGTTATATAACTTACATTATCATTAGGGTACAGAACTCTTGATATATTTTCTGCAAAGTTTCGATCTAATACTGCTTGAATATAATCACCATTGTTGACTGAAATTGAAATGAAATTTTTTTTAGACAATTTTATACAAATTTTAACAACTTAATCTTAAAAAAAAAAGAAAAAAAAAAAAAACATTTGCTTAATCATAATACAATTTATTTCTATAAAACATTGCAACAAATTTTTCTTTAAAAATTTATTGCTAAAAATAATATAAATATTTCTATATTTTCCCTATATTATGCAATTTTCAACTTTTCACAAGCACACTTTCTATTTTTAACAAATAGAAATTTAAGCATTTTTTGAAAAATAAATAACTTTCATTTTACAAAACTATTTTGGATAGCAGTTATGTTAGAAAAAAATATGTTTTCATCAGCTCCATACATTATGAATAAGGATGAACATTGATTATAAGTACAGGTAGGCCTCCTACAGCACGGTAGATATGTTCCTTGAAAGTACCGCATTGTGGGAAATCGCGTTATAGGAGACACCAACTTAATACAAAAACTGGGATTCGGTTCTGAAAAGAGAAAAACTTGGCGTTTGAATGGCGTTTTTTGAATTTTCCAAATCAGCAATTGCTAGCCACGAATTTAACACTGGTTTCATCAACTGACTACTGTCCCATTTGTTTTAAATAATCAAATATTTTTAAGGCTTGTGTTTAAGTGCAGTTTTATTTAAAGGCACCCATTTCCTGTTCATACCATAATATTAGCACTTGTTCGATTTTTTTCATTATAGGTGCTCTCGGACAAGCAACATTTTTTGCAAGAATAGACGATCCGGATGCGACCAAATTTCTGATCTTTTCTCCCGATTGCTTAATCGACCGAATAGTTGACTCATTTAAATTAAAATGCCTACCAATATTAGCTATTCGCTCTTGATTTTTAATTCAATCCAAAATTTCCATCTTTGTTTGAAAAGTTATAAATTTCCTTTTTAATGACGGTCCTTTCTTTTCATTCAGCATTGTTATGGCTAAAATTTTTTCATTCAGTTTTGTGGACAGTAAAAATCGCAAAAAATAACTTCCTTTCACTATGTTGTTAAAAATATACACCCAATAGAAGTTTATACTGTATTTTGGACCATTTTTGCAATCCCCACTTATTGAAAGAGTATAAATGATCAAAAATTTAGTGATATATTTGAGTGTTTATGGTAATTGATGCACATCTGTCTAGAAACCGGTCTTTCCCTGAAACTTTCAAGGGAATAACACGCCAACGTCGACAAACAGCTGTTTTCAAAGACTTTTAGCTCTGTATACCGAACTGCGGCTCGTATCACGTGATCCGTTGCGATTTTTCTGTTATGTGAAGATAATTCGTTTCTAATTACCGTAAACCACGTTGTAAAAAAATTTCCGCATTTTTCCAACCGCGTTGGAACAAAAATGCATTGTAAAGGTATCGCGTTGTAGGAGGCCTACCTGTATTTATATCAGTATCAAAGAGGGTTCACTCAAACCTCAAAAATTTCCTAGTAAAAAAAACTTTATTTTTTTCAGTTCACTTTTAACTCTTAAAAAAAACTTTTACAATTTTATAATTCAAACTTCAATTACAATTACAATATAAATAAATAATCCATTTTAGATTTTAGTTTCAACTTTTGAAAGAAAAATAAGAAAAGAAAAAGAATAACAATAGTAATATTACATGTGCTCCCTTATGAATGTTCAACTTAAGCTTCAGACTTACAACTTGACTGTACATCTAATATTTAAATTTTATACGGATTCTGAAATTCTCTTGCTATTCATGGGGTGGCATTGAAATCAGTCTTTGGCCAGCAATAAATAATAAATTTTTAATAAATAATTAATGTATTAAAGTGAGCTTATTTCTACTGTGTTATATTTCTTCATTTTTTGCTTTTTTGAGAATTTGAGGTTCTATTGCCACTCATGAAATTATCCATTGCCACTTACAATATATTGTCAATATATTAATAATACTATAATACTGATACATTCCTAATTAGGTTTGTTTGATTTATTAACATGAGATACCAACATAAGGTTAAATGGCTAGTCCTCATACCATCCATTATGAGCATGCCTGACTAACAATGAGATCAGCTAGTCCAGATGAGGGTTGGATAATCCCTATATCTGTACAACCTATAATAATTATTAGTAGTACATAAATGGACCTATTCAAGAAATTCCCATAGAAATTACACTGATCATATTTAAACCGAAATCTCCAATTTGAGGTAAGCTGTACTTTATTGCATAGCCATCAGGCTGACCCCTAATTAGAAAGAATGAATTAAATCTAACAAATCTTAAACTAAATTTAAAGTTTTTTAAAATAACAATGTTTAAACATAATCATAATCAATATATAGTAGAAATATTCATAAACTTACAAAATCGAAGATTAAAACTATTAGGAGATTTTGCAGACCATAAGCGCATTGTATTTACTACATTATTACGAAAACCTGGTATTGGACTGTCATAAGGCATAGCAAAAACAATCTAGATAAAAATAAAATTAATACAAACTTATTAAATTATTAAATACATTTTACAAATTTATGAAACAAATCCCACCTGGGTATCAACCCATTTACAGCCAGTTTCTGTCTGTTCAACACGACCATAAAAATTTACTGGAAGCATATATTCAGGTCTAGCTTTTTCCCAAGGATTTCCAAACCTTAGCCAATCATCTGGTTCTTCAACCTAAATAAGTAAATAAAACTATTACAAATTTTTTCCATAATATGTAACATACTAATAAACACAAAAGAATCAATTATTAAATTTTAACCAAAACTTCAGCTAATAATTGAAGCACTTATATTAACTTGTAACAGGTTAATAAAGTAAATAAACTAACTTTCTTCAAAAATACTCTGATTTCTTTTTTCTAAAAAACAAAATTTCTTTAACATACATAAGTTTAAATAATCAATATAACTTGAGACAGATCATAAAATTTCATTTTGTATATTAATGCTTTCAAATCATATATCCACCAAATTGAGATTTTCTTAAAATGAATCAAATGTTTAAACCTCAAAACTTTTGAAATAAAATTTATTTCAAAAACCAAAAATGTAAATCAGGTTTGAAACTAAATAAATATTTAAACAATTCATCTATTTCCAGGTTCAATATTATTAATATTAAAAAATATTCTGTTACATTATTATGGCAACTAAAATTTGATTATATTAATAGTTACATTTAAACCAGGGCTGTGGAGTTGCGTAAAAATCTAATGACTCCAACTCCGACTCTTCCTTATCATCCGACTCCGCCAGGGGTGGATTTGTTACCGAAAGAGACCTGGAAATTCTGATGTCATCATGTGACCTCAGAATAAAAGATTCAATAAATAGAGTTCTAATAAAGATAGAACGTAGAAACTTTTTACTCCAAAGGTAAAAGACTCCTCTAAGTAATATATAAATATGTATTTGATAATTGGACCATTTATTTTGAAAGTGGAGCAAGTCCACTTTTTCTTCTTTCAAGATATTTAAACATTATACAGTAGAGCATCGTTTATCCGAATCAATTGGGGACTGAGGTTGTTCGGATAACTTATTTTTTGGATAACCGATTATGTACGAAAAAATACATTAACCTAACCCATGTTGAAATTTTTCTCCGTTGCATGTCGCATCGTGTTGAATTTTTGTCAATGTTAAGCCTAACATAAACTTTTTAAAATAATAATCGTGGCTATTATATCGTTAAACATTAATTTTTTATTTTGTAAAAACTAAATATATTGAGAAATATAAAATAAAAAAAATTATACTTTAGAAGTTGATCTAGTATCAAAAACGTTCGATTCAGCACCACACACAGTACTCAGAAAAACACCACACAAAGGTGCCAGTGCTGCCAGCTAAAACACACACACCAACAAAAAAAATATTGGAGTAGCCCAAGATATAGCCAAAGACTGCAGCACCACAGCACTAGCAAAAATTTAAATTTGTGGACTGGAATGCTTTCGGTTAACTGACGTTTCGTATAACCGACTTTTGGATAAACGACGCTCTACTGTATTTTTGAATCAACTAAAATGCAAAACAAAGTGTACCAAGTTTGACAATGTTTCTATGACTTTAGAAATATGTCAGTTGATTGCATAGACTTCTATGTGAATTTAACAAAACTAATATATTCTTTCTGGGCCATAAATGGACTTACATCACTTTCATAATTATTGAACTGTAAAATTCATTAAATTTCTATTATGTAAAACTCAATGTCACTTGAAACACATTGTGTTTTATTCTGATTTTGTTCATATATAACAACAAGAAATAAAATAGTATTGTTTATTCTGAACATTAAAAATATTTACTTATTGTTAAACTATCTTATGATAAGTTTATCATTGTTATGAGCTTACCATTAGACAATGCTTTTTCATTTAGATTCATTACATGGATTTTTTTTCTATTCCATCAAATTGTACATTGTTGGTAATATTTATAGTTTTACTCCTCTGTTGTAAGGGGCTGTCTTTAAATGATGTCCACACTAAAAGGAGGGAGGGGATTAAGACAAGTTGGACAAGGGGGTATTAGTGGACATCCATTTATTTCATTAAATTTTATAGACTATGTATTTTATTATATTTATTTCAAAGTTTCTTGTATGTTTCATTTCTACTTATGATATCTATCATTCATAAAGTGATGAAGGTTTTAACGGGGATAGAGATATGTTGGACATCCATAGAGGGAAAGGGGTTACAAAAACTTGGACAAACTGGGACAAGAGGGAGAAGTAAAAATTTCAAGAAAAATGCACATGTAATTTATGGACAGCCCAAGTGCTTAAACTAGAAAATGGATTTACACCACTTTCAAAATCAATGGTTATGCAATGTCATTTACCGATAAATCTTCAATTGAACAAAGCTTATGGTTATTTTAAAATGTTAAGTGTGAATTGTTTATAAATAAAAAGTTCACACTAAATTGTATGTATATTATGTGTTTTCTCAATTTTTTCCAAAAATGGACTTACACCACTTTCAAAATAAACAGTCCAATTGTTACTTTTCTTTCTGAAAGTATAGCGCTCGGTCAAAAAATGACCCCTCCCAAATTTTTACATTTTTGGACTCAGGACACCTTGAAATTTTGACATATGCAAAAGATTTGAGGTTTTTTTCTATATATATGGATGTTAGACTGTGTGTGTGTGGAGCATGATTTTGTTCACCCTATTTGAAGCCTAATAATTTCTGTGGTCAGAGTGGTTAGAATTGGAGTCAGATGGTTTAACACAGGAGTTAGTTATTAAGCGTCAAAGTGGTTGAACTAAATTATGTCCCCATATGCATTCTAACATCTTAGGTGAGAACATCTTAACGGGTTTTACTGTACTATTATAAAATGGCAAAAAAGCTTACTTTGAGAGTAGAGATGAGTTTTATTTTATTTCATTTTTTTAAATTTTGAATGCTAATAACGAGTAAAATATTCATTAAGAGATATGACACATAACCACTTTTATGTCTTCAACCCTGTCGATCTTTAATTAAGAACCAAAATTTAATAGTATTAATGCCCCTTTATACGCAAGCTAAAGTGCCACATTTCATTTCTTAAACTTACCCATTCTGAGATATTGTTTAATATCTCAGAACAGAAAATAAATAAATTAAACAAATTAGATGCCAACACACACGTGCGCGAATTTCGCCCCCTTTTCTTGAGGGGTTCGGGAGGTCTCCAAATGTGTAGATTTGTAAAAAAAAAAAAAAAAGTTGGAGGGTCAAATTTGACTTGATTCCAATACTTTTCTGTTTTATATACATAACAAGTTGGGAAGTAAAAAGGAGTCGGCAGATTTTTTGACGACTGACTCCACAGCCCTGATTTAAACTAAATAACTTTACAATTAAAAAATAATCATTTTCAAATAGAACCTTATCAATCTGAACTAACTGAGGTTCAACCTGAACTATTCAGATTAATGAGTGTTTCAGATTATCTGACATTATTTTTTTTTTTTGTTATATATAATGTGGAGTTCATCAATATACTATAGTTGGATGAATCCATTATATTATGTTATATATGACTGACCCTAGTCAGTTTTTTTGAGAACAGACTAATTTAGTTTATCTATGTAAGGGTTTTCAACCTCTTTCTATATATATTTAAACATATCTTTGATGCAGTTACTCTTCTTTAGTGATTTGAATTTAAAATCTTAATAGCCTGGAAATATTTAAAATCATCAAAGGAGGATAACTATATTAAATACAAAGAAGCAGAGTACAACTCTTCAGCTTAGAAGTCTTTTTACATTACTCTATGCTTCTTTCCATCAACACTTCCCCACCTCTCCATTCATGGTAGATAGGTTATATATTTTTTGTCGCATACAGATGTTAAAAATTTTCTAAAATATGCATATTTACTATTACATATTGTTACTTATTTACATGGTGTTTAAATTTATATTTATTTTATTTGAATGTCTATATATTTATATTTATTATTATATAATTCTGAGATACAATGTATACCAAAATGTTATTTAATATTTGAAATAGATGTGTTCTTTTTTGAAGAGAGTTTGGTTTTAAAATGTGTATGAAATGGACTTTCTAGTTTGAATTGTGTATTTAATTGGAGAATGTTCCATTTTTATTTTTGCTACTAACAATGTATTTGTGATGACTGTAGCCTGAAGACCTATTAAAGAGATTAATTAAAGAGACCAAAAAAAGTTTGAAATAATTGTTTATTGCTAGAAAAAGTGTTTATAGCAATAAACAAATTAGACTCAGACAAATGGATCATCCTGCACAGCCTGGACCTAGCATAATTTCCATGTTTCTGCATCTGAAAAAGTTCAGATGGCCAGTGTTTTCATGATGATAACAATGTCTAAGCCGCCATGACCACATGGTTTACATTTCAGGTGGCATCATTCTATAATGCAAGGATATAAAAACTGGTGCCCTGTTATAAGTACCTCAATGGTAAAAACTATATCAAAAAATAGTGTAAGGTATTTACATCCCATGGTAATAAACATGGTTTGAAACTAAATTGTTTGTTTTTAATAGCTCATTGGAACTTACTTTCTGGGTATGCCTCACATTACTATATACAGTAGACCCCCTATAAAACCGGTTCCTATAAAACAGCAAAAAAATTGTGGCGGTATTTGTACACAACGGTAAAAAAACTCCTATAATTACGTAAAACGTCATCAGGCAGCCGAACTACTTTCCCGCCGTCCGTAGTGCCACGCTACGGACGTTTAGGCGGATAAATTGAGTTTAGTTTCGTCTGTACATATAATTATATATAAATTAGGTACTGTATATATAATTATATATTAACTTAATTTATTGTAACTTTATTATAATTATGTATATATGCTCTCCGCCGTCTAGCGCTACGCTACGGAGAGTTTAGGCGAACTATCGTCTGTACAGTATGTAAATTAGCTACCGTAAGTCTAATACAGTACTGTAATTTTATACATTTCGTGTGAAAGAAACATTCCTTATTCAACGGCGATTAAAATCTATATATATAAAAATGAATGTATGGTTGTCTGTCTGTGTGTGTGTGTGTCATTCATGCATTACCACACCGTTTATCCGGTTGGCGTGAAACTTTGGGAAGTTGTTTAATATACTCCAGCGAAGGTTTGTGGCATNGGCGATGTCGAATGGTGCACACTCGGTAAGTAATCCTACAATTTTTTGTTTATAGCGTAGTTTATACGGATTATTTCCAAAAAAAATATACATATTTTGGAAATGTTGAGTCGGATTAGTCTAGAATCGATTAATTTTATGGAAGAAAACCTTTCAATCAGCCATAGTCCGTAAACTTCACACGTGTCAGGCTGTGATTGGAAGGACTCGTAAGAAATCGGATTCCTAAAGAATGGAACGTATCTATGATCTTATAGGGGGGGTCGACTGTATTTTTATGAAGAATCATGGCAATTATAAATGGAAACAGTTTTTAAGCCTAGAATTTTAAGGTGATGGGTGAAGTTGAATTCACAATCAAGAAAAGTCCAAAACGTAGATAAATCAGAGAGAAACTCTGTCATCCTTGAAATTCAGAATTTTTAATTATTTTCTGTTTCTGATTACCCATTCCAATTGGTAGCTTTTCCTCATTCTCACTTTATAAGTGATCTATCACTTGTTACAAAGTGTAATGAAATCTCAACTTAGATCACAGAATGAATCAAAATTGACATTTAATTTGATCCCAACCAAAGATAGTTGATCTTGGGAATTACCTTGTCTAGTTTTCCTTTGTCATGTTTCTGAGAAAAGATTTTTCCCCCTTATTATTATTTTTTTCGTTTTATGGAAAGAATGTAGCAAATATTAATGATTTTGAAGTTCCAAGACATTTTCAAAACGTCACATTAACATTTTAATCCTATATAATTTTAACAAAACTTCAAAAAATTTATACAACATTTGCAATTCAATTAAAATTTTCAGAACCAAATTACTGGATAATATACAAAAATAAAAACATTTAGAAAAAATTAATTTCAATTTGACAATATTCAAATAAAGAAAAAAAAGTTTATTTTTTTACAAAATTTTCCTATTCTAATCAAGATAAACTATTACATATTTAAAATAAATAATTTTTTTCCTCACAGGTTCCAAAAAAGTTTCTAAATAAGTCATTTCAAAAATATAATAAATTTTAAAGTAAATTACAGAAATTTACCTGTTCACCATTTTTAATTTTCTGAGCAAAAATACCATATTCATAACGTATGCCATAGCCATAAGCTGCAAGACCCAAAGTTGCCATAGAATCTAAAAAGCAAGCTGCTAATCTTCCAAGACCACCATTGCCCAATCCAGCATCTTCTTCAACATCTTCCAATTCTTCAATATTAAGCCCTAACTATATAAATTAAAAATTTTTAGATTTATTAAAACATTTGCTTATTAATAATTCAGAACAAATTTACAATAATTACACATACACACCAATAATTGAAATTTCAAATTTTTAAAGATGATGTTAAACAATATTAAGCACAATAAATTAATCTAACAAGTACTGAAAATTAAATATATACTTAATTTAAAAAGTTTATTAAAATTTATATAATTAGAAAAATCGTAGGCTGAATTCTATAATAAATACTATATTAAAAGACTGAAATACAGATGTTACAGTATATATGCATCTTGTCATCCTTAATTAAAAATTTAAACAAATGATAAATTATTAACTATTAGCTGAAATACTTGGCAATGCTTGCATTCTCTTATGAAAATATTATGAACAGTTTCATAAACTATATGTGCTTTTGTTTCTTGATATGTACATTGAATACTTGCTTCCATGGTGGTGTCAACAAATTTTAATCCCCTCTTAATAAAATAAATTTTGTTTTATTTACATATCTTTGTATAGATTTGTTATATCATATTTTACAAAATATTCACAAAAATTTAAAAATTTCTCTCAAACAATGAAGAAAACAATACTTAGTAGAGCAATTTGTAACAAAACAATTTAAAATGATAAATTTCAAGAAGCTATAATTATATATATATTTTTAAAAACATCAGAAGTGATGGAAAATAGTATTAAGACTTTTTAAAATACAGTAATACTCCAAACTTACGCGATAGGTGGGACCAAGTGATAACCACGTAAGTCGGGGTATAATTTCTCAATGTGTGTAAAATCCAAGTCGGATGTATGTAAGCTAATAAATGTTCTCGTTAATCTTATCTCGTCTTTTGATTCATTCATTGTTACAAGAAATCACCACGTAGAGTCTCTCAAGTCTCCATAGATATAACAAACACAGAAATAAATAACACAAAATAAATTGTAGCTACGTGTCAATTCCGCACGACACGTCCAAACATGTAAGTTGAACAATAGTGTGGAGGGAATGAGTAATCAAGAGTTGCGTGGTGCTCAAACAAAAGACGAATCAACGAGATTTGAAAATCGCATAACTCCTGACTCCAGATTCACGTAAGTCGGGGTAGCGTAAGTCAAGGTATCACTGTACTTTCAAAATATTTGTGCATCAATGGATTTTATGTTGACAGTGATAAATTACTGTTATTTGGATAAAAATGCACAGAATAAATGACATCACCACAGCCAATTGATTTCAGCTAATTGAACATCATTATTTAGATCACATTCTTAATAATTAAATTGTTTTATTACCTTATTATTTCCAAGAAGAAAGTAATTGAATGTGAAGTTAAATGTATTGTGGCATTTTCAGTGGTAAATTGACCTATGGCAGTGATGTCACAGGTTTGGTTGGTACAAATATATATACAGTAGAACCTCTCTAATCTGCCCTCGGCTAGTCCGTCACTCCAGTTAATCCGACCGTACAAAATACGGTCGGATTAACTGTCGTACCTTAATACAAAAGTTCAAAAGTTCCTATTTACTAATATAAAAGAAAAAATGAAAGTACAGTAGAGCGTCGTTTATCCAAAAGCCGATCAACCGAAACGTCAGTTAACTGAAAGCATTCCAGTCGGACTGTGTCATGCTTAATCGAATGTTTTTAATACTAGATTAACTTTCAAAATATAATTTTTTTGTTTTTATATTTTTCAATATATTTATTTTGTTTGTACAAAATAAAGAAATAATTTTTAATGATACAATAGTCACAATTATTATTTTAAAAAATTTACGTTAGGCTTAACATCGACAAAAATTCAATGTGAAGCAACATGCAACAGAGAAAAATTTCAACATGGAATAGGTTAATATATTTTTACGTACATAATCGGTTATCCGAAAAATAAGTTATCTGAACAACACCAGTTCCCAATTCATTCGGATAAACGACGCTCTACTGTAGTATGAAATTAAGTCATGTACTTTTAAGAAATTGAACAGGTCTTGTTGGGCTGCAATTTGAAAAACTGTAGACCTATAAATTCCCACTGTTATCTGTCTGTCCTTCCTTAATCTCGAGAATGAAGTTAGATAGATGAAAAGCAAGATCAGACATGGAAAGCTTAGGGTCAGGAAGCCCCCATTAACTGTAAACAAACTTCCAGTTTATACTCAAAGTCATATTATTTCAATTCAAAAATATTACCCTGAAAGGAGTTAGATAGATGATCTGTACAACTCTAATTGCTAAAAGAAAAAGAATGATGTACAGGGGAAAGACACTAATTTGAGGTGGAGAGCATATATTTTAAATTAAATAAATAAAAAATTTCAGCCCAGCATTGTGATGATGTCACAATAAATAATTGCTCATTTGTTATAAAATACTTCATATTAGGGTTTCTCATTTACCAGTCTTTTGCTTGTCCCGGGATTTCAGGGAAAAAGTGAATTGTTTCCCAGGATAGAATTAATTATTTTTAAGATATACAAAATATCTTTAAAAAATGAATAATAATTATATCATTTGATTTTAAGATATTTAATTCATTCTGCAACCTTCAAAATCATATTAATAATGCTGTGTAAGATATATATTAAAAATTACCTTTGAATTATGTAGAGATTTTCACAAACAGAAAAAATTTTATTAAAGTTTGCTGGAAACTGCATACAACAAAAACAAAATAAAAAATGCTTTGAATTGAGTTGAAAATTTAAAATAAAATGAACTTAAATCAAATTTCTAACTTAAAAGTTAATTTTTGTTTTTTAAATAAAGCACAAAAATTTACAATAATATTTTGTATTAAGATTTTAAAAAGCAAAGATGGTCAATACTCCGATCACTCAATCTGATTCTTATTTTAGTAATGAAAAGTCCTGCTACCAAGAATGTCCTTTCCGATTCAATTGATGTGAGTGAAATCATGCTTAATGCATTTAAGAGAAGACAGATGTGTTTTTTCACCGTAGTCTGGTAGATTTCTGGTTCATTTTTGAGATTGTAGTACTTCTTTTGCTCTCTAGTATTCTTGATTTGTCTACTTTAATAGAAACATCAAGCTTATAGCCCAATAATTCGGCAGTTCATTTGTCTTTAATAATCAGGTTTATGAAGAAAAACTTCATACTTGCAGACTTCATATTCGTTTGTATCTTTGCCCAATTTGCACAACCTGGCGTTATGCATTTATTGAAGCTACTGGGCATGGTTAAAAATTAAGACAGTGTAAGCACAATTATTCCATATATTACAGGTTCTGACAAGTAAAGAATTTTCAGAGTCCTGCCACAAATAAGCTACGTATTGATTATTGACCATTTGTGACATGCCATAACGAGCAAAAATTAAAAAAAAACTAATAGGTAGGTTTAAAATTAATAAATGCAAATGTATTCTGACAGTGAATGAGATAATTATGCTTTCTATTTGCAAAATTTCTTAACCTTAACACAAAATAAGAAAAAAGTGAATTTTTAAGAAATTTGCGGGATTTCCTGGGATAAGAAAAATTTCCTGGGTTAAAAAAAACCGGTATTCCAGGATCCCATTTGAGAAATCCTACTTCACATCTTTTGATTATGATATTTTCTCTTCTATTAATATAGCTATCAATTTGGCTATTAATAAGGATTTATCACACCACAGTCAAAATGTGACCAGATTAGAACATCTTTATTCTTTTAATTAACTCCAAAGTCTTTTGACTCCTTCAGTTGGAGCATACAATTTGTGAAAATTGTAATTTAAAATTTTATATTTACAGTTTTCTTCTTTCTAGTATGATTTAATAAAATCATACTTAGTTTGTACTGTATACTGTGCTGAAACTATCAGGTAAAATGAAATTTTTGTCACATTTTTCCAACCACATTAAACTAAAATCATATAATTTGAGTATCATGTAAATCAAGGTTAGGTGTACTATATACCAGAAACTAATTCATTCTACATCCAACAATGTTAAAGTCTAAAATTATCCATTTATTAAAATACAAAATTGAAAAATAATATCCTGTATAATTAAAATAAGTAGTTCTTAAATTTAAACATTATCCTATCAGAATTCTCAAAAGAAAACTTTTGATATTATTCTATTTCTCATATATATTTATTATTGTGGTTCATTTTTATTTATATTTAGAAATTTCATATAAATATCCAATTTCTAATGTGCAAGCTATACACTGAGTGGCCAAAAAATTAGAGNGCGCCATCTATCGTAGGATAAATGTACTATGCCAAAAACCTCCGCGGGAGTGTATTAAAAAACTTCCCAAAGCTTCATGGCAATCGTACTATGCCAGAAAACTGCGCAGGAGTATATTAAACAACTTCCCAAAGTTTCATGGCAATCGGATAAACGGTGTGGTAATGCATGAAGGACGAACAGACACACAGACATACATTCATTTTTATATATATAGATAATTAGATTATGTATTTTGTAATTCCATATTGCAATCTTTCTTAAAAAGAATTTTTTCCTGATCATCCTTATTGTGATTGGAATCTAAGGTCATTGAATAGACCGACAATATAAGATTCATGACAGTTTGCAACTTTCAGAGGTTTTATAATTTTTCTCAAATTTATATACTGTGTGTATATATGGTCAAACCTCTCTATAACAGAACCTGTCATTAATGGAAAATTTCTTCAGTCCCTTGAATTTTTTGCAAAATGTAATGTAAATTAATTTGTATATAGCAGAACCAGTCCAACGTGGAAATGGAAAGGAAAATCAGGCTGTATAATGGAAAAAAATCAGCATCTTTATCCAAATTAAAGCCTAGCATGTATAAATCATAAAATAAGTAAAAAAATACACATACCGAATATAGAATAGCAAAATACAACTAACATATTAAAGTAATTTTATTGGGATTTGAACAAAGTTTTTGCATATTTTTATTAACAGCTGTTTTTACTTTACATTCATTACTGAGATTTTTTATGTTTATTTAAACTTTGCAAAATGTTTTTTCATCAAGTAAATAATATCATCATTATTTATAATTACTCGTGCTTTTTTAATAAAAGCATAAGTAAATTATCTTTTAAAAAAATCAAATAACTGGGAGAAAAACAATATATCATTTTCAACACAGGATGAATTAATTATATAAATTGAAACTTCACGAATGAGGATAGAGAAAATCACGATTAGCTTATTAATCATATAACTTCCTTCACTATCATTCTAAAGTGTATATCAATCAACATGATTTCACTTTTATAAACTTCTCAAATAAAATTTTAAATATAAAAATTTCAGTAAAATGGTAATTTTTCTATAAGACAAAATTTAATTTTTAAATACATTATCCTATCAGAATTCTCAAAAGAAAACTTTTGATATTATTCTATTTCTCATATATATTTATTATTGTGGTTCATTTTTATTTATATTTAGAAATTTCATATAAATATCCAATTTCTAATGTGCAAGCTATACACTGAGTGGCCAAAAAATTAGAGACACTCCTTATTTGAAAATAAACCAGTCAGATAGTGAAGTAGAGTGATGAGAGTTGCTTATATCAATGCAGAGTTGCTTATATAAGGAACACTTCAGACGACATAGTTATCACGGAAGTTATGTCAAAATGGGTAAGACAAAAGATTTAAGTGACTTTGAACAAGGGATGATCATTGGTGGAAGAAGAGCTGGTGCCAGCATCTCTGAAACAATGACTCTTTTAGGATTTTCTCGCCCAACAGTATCTCGGGTGTTTAGAGAGTGGCAGTTGAGAAAAAAACTTCAAGTGATAAGGACAATTCTAGTTGAAAAAGGCTGATGAACAAGAGAGGTGAAAGGAGATTAGCATGCATAATTCACAGCAACAGAAGGGCAACAACACAACAAATTACAGCTGAATTCAATGCAGGTGCATCACAAAGCATATCCCAACACACAACAAGATGGACTTTGCAAAGGATGGGCTTTAGCAGCAGGAGACCATCAAGAGTGCCTTTGGTATGACAGAAAAATAAGAAAAGGCACCTGTTGTGGGCCCAGGAACAACAAAATTGGTCACTTGAAAACTGGAAAAAAGTAGCCTGGTCCAATGAATCTAATTTCCTGCTCCATCATGCAAATGACAGGATCAGAATATGGTGCAAACAGCACAAATTCATGGGCCTCTCCTACCAAATGACAATCTTCAGGCTGGTGGCAGTGGAATTATGGTGTGGGGAATATTTTCCTGGCGTACACTGGGCCACTTGATATTTGTGGACACATCTTTGCCAATCACATATACTTGTTTATGGCTGTAATGTTCCCTGATGGGAGATGGTCACTTTCAGATGGACAATGCACCTTGCCACCGTGCTCAATTGGTCTCAAATTGGTTTGAGGAACATCAATCAAACCTGCTTCCATGGCCAGCTCAGTCCCGACCTCAATCCTATGGAGCATTTATGGGACAAAGTCGAAAGATCACTTCAAAGCTTGGAAACGCCACCATCCAATCTGACCCAACTTAGAGCTGCCATTATGTCAGCATGGGCCAACATTCCTCAGCAGCAGTATCAGCAACTTGTTGAGTCCATGCCAAGAAGAATATTGGCTGTGATCAGAGCTAAAGATGGACCAACTTGTTATTAGAGAGTGTCTCTAATTTTTTGGCCACTCAGTGTAATTATAAACTGAGATCAAAAACATTAAAATAGTCTCTCATCACTATAGCTTTGAACAATCTTAATGCAGATTTACAAGGTGGACCAAAATTTACCTACCAAATTTAATAAGTAACTTCAAATGCTGATTTAAATGATATTTGAATAGGATTTGTATACCTTGTCATTCAGTTGTAATGAAGCATTAAACCTGACAGGTAGATTTCATGCCACTCTGCATTTATTTTGACTTACTCATTAGTGTTATTTATTTATAACTCTTTAAAATTGGAAAACCATTTACAAATAAAGAAGAAAAATTATAATTAATGTTTTAACAATATTAACAATTATTATTTATCTTTGAGTTTGGACTGAATCTTAAATTACATTATTAGAAGCCAATAAAAAATATAGGACAAATTAAATGTTAAGATATTAAACTAATTTTTACTAATTTTTCTTATTTACTTGTAATTATTTACTGTTGGAAATCAGTGCACCTTTAATATAACAAATAAGTGCCAAATATAAGCATCTATTTGTTTTAAAAAGTAATATTAAATTTTATAATTATTAACATACCTGATAAATGGCTTCATCACATGCACTTTGTATACCCAGGTTCACCATAGTATTGGTAAGGGATCTTCCCATGTAATATTCCAATGAAAGATAATATACACGCTGAAAAATAACATATATAAATATTGGATTTACATATAAAAATATATATCATAATCATTTCATTTTTACAAAAATACATTTTATTTAAACAAATAAAGCATAAAAAATTATATATAAAATTTCCATTTAATAAGCAAGTATATGACAAACAAAAATAGTGAAAATCAGATAATATAACTCAGCCATAATAACTTAAAAAATTGTTGTTATTGTTTAGTTTTATTGAAAATTAAACAATTGTGTCCTAACTGATCAGCTGATTTTTAATAAACAATATGTAAAATATAATCTATGTTTTGATGTAATGTTTTATAATCATAAGTCAGTCTTATACTCTCATATTCAGACAAAAAAATGCATTTGGCCAAGCAATGGTGAATTAAGTATTTTTAGAGCCTATGCATAAAGTTGACCAAATAGGTTGAGTGTCATGTAAATTTTTTGTTATTGTTTAAAATTATAAATTTCTGATAATTAATTTGTTAATTGCTGTAGCAATTATCTCTAGGTGATTTTATATAAAATTCCACTTTCTGCAATATCTATAAATGACAACTTGACAATGATTCATTTTATATTTAAGAACCTCAATCCTATTAAGAGAGATAGAATGACAATTTAATTAGCTCAAATTATTGAACTTCTAATACATCTTGTTATGAATTAGAAATTGTTCGTAATAGATTCATTATTACATTTTGCCATCAACATCTGAATTTAAATTATATGCAAAAAAAATTATTATTTATAATTTAAAATTTATTTTATGTAAAAATTGTCACAATATTATATGATAATATATTTTCCTAAATGTAAATTTTTTTATTTATGGGGGTCATTTCAATTTATATAAGCAAAAGATATAAAATTTCATTTTTACTTTCCCAGCTGTTATGTATATTGGAAGCGTTTCAAATTTGACCATCCCAGTTTTTTGCAAATCTCCAAATTTTGAGATCTCGAACCCAAAAAAGTAAAAAAAAATTTCATGGATGGGTGTGGATGTTTGTTTATGGGGATCTATAAATCTTTATTTCATTTAATATCTTGAAATATTAATGAAATAAAGATTAAGAAGTAAAATTTGGCACAGTAGCTTGTATATAAGGGGCATTGATGTCATTAAATTTTGTTGGTGAAAGGTCAAAGGGGGGAAAAGTTAGAGGATGGTCATGTCATATCTTGGGTGTAGTTAGACTTAATGAAGATTTTACTTATTGTTAGCATTTAGTTTTTTATAAAATTCATCTCTACCTTCAAAATTAAGCATTTTGCCATTTTATAATAATTAAAAATATAGAAAGTTTTTAAAACAAAATCTCATAACAGATGGCACAGTTTTATTTATTTATTTGTTATGGTTGATTATATAAAAATTATTTTTTGAATAAATTCTCATAACATCCAAAAAAGTTACACAACTAGTTGCTAATTTTTTTGTAATATGAATGGTAAGTTAGAAAAAAATTATATTTTTTTTATAGAAAACAGACAAAAATAATGATCTTATACACTTAAACAAAACTTTTGGAAAAAGTCTAGCAACACTAATTAACATTGGGTCTAGTACAAAGAGTTAAGGATCAAAACAATAATTATCTCTTGAAGGCTTGTAAAAGGAAGTCAATTTATTATTCATAAAGAAAACTTGTATTGAACAATACAGAAAAGAATTAAAAATAAAACTGAAAACTGTTGGGATTCAAACAATAAGAAAATAAATATATATATATAATTATATATGTTACTGTAAAAGTGTGAAGTCTGGTAATTCTTAGAAATTACAGGTAAATCCAGACATTTACCATCAATGAATAGTAAAAGTCCAAAATTCCTGATTCAGTTAAAGTTTATAAAATCTGTTACTTATTACATCACTCATTCTGATGTATTATAAGCAAGACTTACATAAACACACACACAAAAAACAAACGATATAATAGACAACTTATTCATATACACTGCATATTTCTCACCAAATTTATCNCTATAAGACAAAATTTAATTTTTAAATACAATTATATGATTCTTCAACAACATTTATATTTTAAGAGATAACTTTTCAGATTTCTTCCAAATTGTCAAAATTGTATGACTTTCCAAATGCCACAAATTAATTGGCAAAGTTATTCATCTTAATCACAATAGGCTTAACTGAAAAACTTTATTTATTAGCAAATAAAAAAATAAGTACAGTATATGTATTTACACTTAATTCATAAGTATAATAATAATTAATATTTCAAATGCAATACAATTTGAACAAATTATTAAGATAATCCTAGAATGACAATATTAAAGAATTTATCATCAGACCCAAATTCATCCATACATTTTTCTTACTTTTACTGCAATATAAGTTTTCTTTTTCTGGAGACACTTATTAAGATTAAAATGTAAAAGTATAAGCTAACAACATTAAATTAATTATCACATGAAAGATTATTCATGGTCAGTCCTAAAAAAAGAAAATATTTGTCACTTTCCAGACTGATATTTTATATTTTAACAAACAATATTTACCAAAATTGGTAAATATAAATTGGATCTCTGTTGACTGTAACCCTTGATCTATATATTTCTCTAACAATCAAGAATTCTGTTAATATATATCAAGTCTTTGTTAATTGCAACACTTTCTAGAATAAGGACTAAACACTGTGCAATGGTGCAAAATATATGATACTCCTTTCCTTCATTCCTTCAATCATAATAAATAAATTATTCCTTTTACAAATTTGTAGCCCTTTATTCTCATTACTTTTCAAAATAAATTTTGTTTTTAAGAAAAACACAAAATTGATAAAGTTGATAAAGTGAGATGTAATCAATCAGTTGAATTAAGCTTTCAAAGTCCTTTTGCATGCTTAACCATGTGCCTTAATTTATGGAAACAAGGTCAATTGTCATAGTGGGGAGTACTTCTAAACTCAACAGTGCGAGACCATATCACACATCATTACACAGTTTTGTTTTTATGAACGAGAACTTATAATACTTAGTAAATAAAAACTCAAAACCATTTGGTGGTTCACAACATGATTTTTTTTTATAATGTATTGGTTTATATGAGTCTGAGAACCTTTGTTCTAAGATCAAAGAATCAATATATAGTTATTCATAAATTATTTTGTGTATTTAATTTCCTACAAAAATGCTTAAATATGTAATATATGTCAAATCAGAGTTTATGTAGTTTCAAGGACAATATTCAATTTAATGCAAATTAAGCATTATATTTTCAAATTACTATTCATTAGTCTCAGTTAGCATTTAAGTACAAGAAGAAAAAAATGCTTCTGCATAACTATTCAAGCATTAGTAATTAACAAATTAAAGCTGATATAATGGTATGTCATACTATTTCCTAAGAAATTAATGCATCTGTTATGATGTTGAAGTTACTGAATACTTACTACTGAAAAAAACAATTTACAAATGTATTCAAATAGTATAGATAAGGTATTAAGTTGTATCAGAATGTTCACTATGTTTGTTGTACTGTAAAAATATTGTAATAAAGTTTTGTTATTTAATAGTTTTTCAATATACAGTGCTTAAAAAATATGCTCAAGACATTAGTGAAAAGTTGTATGGTATATCCAATTACAGAAATCTGTGTAACTCAGCCAAACAATCACATTAATTAATCAGGATTTTGTGTAACTCTTTAAGGAATTAAATTCAGTTTGGGTTAGCAATGCTGTTCAGGAATGTTACACAAGATACTGAGTGGATGAGCATTAATGACATATGACAGGACAAATCATTTCCATGGCCACAAATTCCTCTAATATTCCCATTGTATCAATTGAAGAACACCTTACAAAACCATAGGAATGAAATAACTTGCTAGCAAGGTGTAGCAAAAATAAAAGTCTGATTAATGTAATCTTATTGTGTGGTAGTGTTTTATTTTGATAAAAGTGTAAATAAACCATTTTATGTTAACATCCATTATATTATTGATGCAGTGTATTTATGTTGTAATTATGCCAAGGATTTCTTAAGAGTTAACAACCAATATGTGAGAAACTTTGTCATAATGTGACAATGAATAATGGGAGATTAGGAGAAGGGTTAAAAATCTAGGATTTTAGTATGACTTCATTTATACAATAAGATGCCTCAAAGTAATTAAAATAGTAAACATTTTATTATTATTATTTCTAAATTCTATAAAACAAAACATTGCATATAAATGTAATTGGTTATTAAAATTTATGTAACAAACATTACCATATTAGCAAATACAATAACAATTATATTTAATCTATGGATTAAATTAATAAAAAAATATCAAATATTCTTAGAAAAGCATGGAAATAATAAGTTCTCATTTTTATTTCTGATGTCTATGTGTAGAACACAAAAACTCTCACGATGATAATATAAAAGAGAAAGGCCACACTTCATCAAAGACACAAGTCTAAAAAAATGTATGTCAACTTCTAACAGCAGTTCAGATTCCAAATACAATTATTTTAGTAAATACATGGCAAAGAAAAAGTTACACCAGCAGTTGATGATTACACCATTTCATCACCATGAAGTTTCCTACAAAGTGTAAAGCATAACATTGATCAAGTTGTCAGTATCAACTTTGAGGAACACAGACTAAAGTTTCTTTGCAAAACATGTTGGAAGACAAGTTTTAACTACTTTTTGTTGCAGCTTCAGGTTTTATTGTAACCTGGAATAAGTGCTTCAAAAGTAGTTCTAGACCAGGGGTGTCCAACCCGCGGGCCGCATGCGGCCAAGGCAAGTTCCAATGCGGCCCAATAAACGTGTAAACAAAACTGACAAAATGTATTAATTTTTTTATTATTTATCTATTTCAACGGCATAAACTTAAAAAAGAAGTTTCACAAAGCCGTAAACTTTTATTCGTATTTTATTCTTGAGTGGAAAGGAAATATTTTCAAGTACTTGGAAATGTGTGAATGAGGAAGGATTATTAAATAAAGCTGGAGTTGTGACTCAAAGAATTATAGACCCAA